CATGTTTGGTTAATTTTTTTTGTACATGATTTTTGTATGTTTCCTTTTCAATAAAATCAGATTGGAACAGTGGATACTCTTTCTGCCCTCCTTTCCCGCAGCGTGACCCGGTCTGGCCGGAGCCCCTGACCCGTCTGGGCCCATGGGCACACCTGACCGTCCGGGGCTGTCCCTGCGGAAAGGCCGAGAACCACGGCCACATGGGTGCCTGTCCTCCTCCTACTCGATGCAAAGCCCTGTGAGGGTGGGGGGCTTGGGTGCTTTCTCATTTACTGCTCCCCCACCTCGGCTAGGGTATGTCATGGGGGCTCGGTATTTACTGACACGTGGATGACCTGTGAGGAGCCCCAGGGAACATGTCAGTAATGAGATGGACCTTGTCCCTGCTCCCATGAAGGCACAGAGTGACATCTGGGGGAGCATTGAGCTAAGTGCAGAGCAAGGTTCACCTGTGTCTCTGCCCTGAGGCCTAGCCCAGTACCTGGCTAGGTACCGGTGTTAAGAACTGGTGTTGAATGCATATAAGGGGCCCTGGCTGGTGTGGCCCAGTGGACTGAGCACTGGCCTGGAAACCAAAAGGTGGTCAGTTTGATTCCCAGTCAGGGCATATGCCTGGGTTGCAGATCAGGTCCCCAGTAGGAGGTGCACGAGAGGCAGCCACACAGGATGTTTCTCTCCTCTTTCTCCCTCCCTTCCCCTTTCTAAAATAAAATATTTAAAAGTATATATATAAAAAAAGAAGGGTGCTCCTACAGGGCGACTAGCCAAATGCTTTTCTGTGCCCTATCCCACACAAGACTGGCAGACAGATTCAGATCCCAGCTCTGCCCCTTCCTGCTCTCCTCTCGGGAGACGACTCTTCTCCTGAAAGTCAGGGCCAGAGGGAATTATCAATTTGTTGTTCCACTTGTTTATGCACTCATTGGTTGATTCTTGTATGTCCCCTGACTGGGGATCGAACCCACAACCTGGGTGTATTGGGATGATGTTCTGACCACCTGAGCTACCCTGGCCTGGCCATCTTTTTTTTTTTTTTAAAGATTTTATTTATTTGTTTACAGAGGAGAGGAAGGGAGGGAGGAAGAGAGGGAAAGAAACATTGATCAGTTGCCTCTTACACATCCACAACTGGAGTTCAAACCCTCAACCCAGGCCTGTGCCTTGACTCGGAACTGAACTGGAGACCTTTCCGTTCACAGGCCGGCGCTCAGTCCACTGAGCCACGCCAGGCAGGGCCAACCATCTTATTATAAGTGACCGAGTCAGAATGTTTGCTTTAGTCATATATATTTCAAATAAGAATTTTTTTTAAATTTCTCCATTTATCTACCATTCCTAATGCTCTTCAATGTGTCCTGGAGTTCCAATTTTCTAATGCGACAGTACTTATTTATTTATTATTGATTTTAGTGAGGGAGACAAAGAGACAGGGAAACATCAATTTGTTCCACTTATTGACACATTCATTGGTTGATTCTTCTTCTTTTAAGATTTTATTTATTTAGAGAGAGGGGAAGGGAGGGAGAAAGAGGATAGAAACAGTGTGGGGTTGCCTCTCATGTGCCCCCACTGGGGACCTGGCTTGCAACCCAGGCATGTGCCCTGACTGGGAATTGAACCAGCAACCCTCTGATGTGCAGGCCCATGCTCAATCCACTGAGCTATGCCAGCCAGGGCTCATTGGTTGATTCTTGTATGTGCCCTGACCAGGGATCGAACCTGCAACCTTGGCCTGTTGGGATGATGCCCCAACCACCTTAGCTAGATACAGACAGGGCCGGTTTCTTTTTAATAGAACCAAACCTATCATATTGAGGACTGAAAAGTGGGGGATCCCACCCCAGCACCCAGGTTAAATGGTTAAGAGGCAGAGACCCAGGGACTTGGACTGGTTGTTCCAGCCGTCCGTGTGGCCTTCTCGCTCTCCCTGAGCACTCCTGCAACTTAGCGGAGCTGAGGCTGGGGGGCCTGGCAGTGAGGCCTGCGGCTAAATCCCTGCCACCTGCAAACCGTGTGACCCCAAGCAAGCTGATCCCATGCATGAACCTGTGCCCCTCACCACCTCCAAATGCTCCCGTCCTGCAATGGTTGCTTCTGGAGAGATTTACTTTTCACTGCTCATAGTTTTGCCCCTCCTTAAAAAACAGGACCGTGTCTTCATGAAGCTTCAATTCTGCGCTCAGTGCGCATGTACTCTCTACCCAAACCACAAGCAGAACGTGCAACGCTACCACCCTGCAGCCTTTTGGAAAGAATCACCGTCTCAAATGCATTTAGATAACCCATAACCTGAGCATTCGGCTTTGGAGAGCCTTTCCCAAGTGTGTGTGCAGAACACGGGCTCGGTGTCACTCAACAGCAGCCTGATTAAATAGCTTACGGTTCATCTGTGGTTTCGGAATTTGATGCCTGATGCGCTGACAAGGATCCCCAAGGCAACGAGAAAAGGCAAGTTGCAGACAAAGTTATTTCTAAATATGCGTAATAGCTAAGAGAACATATTAGTTCACTTAATGTTCACGTGTCAGAGAGATGTGTATCACCCCATTTCACAGATAGGGTGACTGAGATGCCAAAAGGTACCTTCCCCAAGGTCCCATAGTGAAGTGGTAGAATCTGGATTCGAACCTGACAGCCTGGAGGGATTCACTCTCCATAGCTGCCAGGGGTGACCTCTGGGAGCTGGGTTATGAAAGTGGACACAGCCAACCTACACAAACAGCATCTCATGGTTCTCTCCGAAATCCCGAGTTTGGCTGTGAAGTCGGCTGCTCCTGCTCTGTGGCCGACATTGAGCTGACAGGCCGAGATGCGGTGGGGAGGATCTCTTTCCTCTTAATTTGGTATGTTGGCTGAAGGGTTTTTAAAACAATTTTTTAAAAGATTTTATTTATTTTTAGACAGGGGAAGGGAGGGAGAAAGACAGGGAGAGAAACATCAGTGTGTGGTTGCCTGTCATGCACACCCTCACTGGGGACCTGGCCCACAACCCAGGCCTGTACCCTGACCGGGAATCGAACTGGCAACTTCTTGGTTCACAAGGCAAAGCTCAATCCACAGAGCCACACCAGGCAGGGCACCTGAAGTTTTTAGCACAAGCTTAAAAAGAGTCCACCTGCCCTCCTAGAACCAGCTGAAGGCCCTCCCTTAGCACTTGGGCCTGGCCCGCGGTTTTCAGCGGTGACTGCTAAGTCTATGGACCTTGGGAAAGCGGAGTCCGAGTCTCCTTGTCCTCGTTGGGATCAGAGGCGTGGCCGCTCCATGTCCTCCATGAAAACATTGCCCATCAGCCCACAGTCCATGCCCCACCTCTTAGGGGAAGCTGTTTCCTTATCTGCAACATGCACACAACAGCAGCAGCATCTATGTACCCCCACAGGGTTGCCGTGAGGATCCAAACAACTTACCAAAAGCAACAATACTTTGGGCCACAGCCAACATGGCTCCGTTGGTTGGAGTGTCATCCCGTAAACTAAAAGGTTGCATGTTTGATTCCCGGTCAGGGCACGCACCTAGGGTGTGAGTTGGTCCCTCGCTGGGGCATGTGCAAGAGGTAACCAATCGATGTTCTTCTCTTCCTCTCCCTCTCTAAAATCAATAAGCATGTCCTCAGGTGAGGATTCAATAAGAAGCATTTTGGGGAAAACAGGACACACTCAGTGGATAAACACACGTTTACCCAAGAAATGCAGGAAAATGGACGGGATGAATCTGCACCATAAGAATGTGGGGCTGGGATGGAACCGACAGCTTTTTATTGTAATTTTTGACCTTTTTGTTTCTGAGTAGCACCTGTCCCAGTAGAACGTTCTGCATCTTCGGTACATTCAGCACTTAGCAGAGTTTGGCTACCGCACAAACCAGACAACAGGAGCAGGGCTGGCAGTGGGCAAATCTGGCCACCCTGAGGTCGCTCCAGCACCCCGAAAGCCTGTCACTTCTATGGAGAGGACCCTCCCTCCCACATGGGCTACACAGCTCTTGGAGGTGCCAGAAACCACAGGATAACCGCCGTGCACTTCCTGGCGACTAGGGAAATCCATTTTATGCTAACACTGACGGGTAATATGGGAGAAGAAATTTGAGGAGACGCGAAGAGACACATTTCTTGCCTGGGGCTGGCAGCTTCCAGCACACCCTCCCTGATTCCCAAGGGGTCCTCTCTGGATGACTCAATCTCTGCCACGAGAAGTACAGGGTGGAAAAGTTTGAGAAGCTTCAGAGAAGGCTACATGTCAATTTTGTTTTTATCCTTCCAGACCCGCCTGCGCCCCCTTGTGACCAAGGCCCTGCATTGCAAGGCAAAGGGTGTTCGTTAGCTCAACGTTTCAGAGGGCCTGAGATTGGTGCATTAGAACCGCTGACCTTGGGGTCCAGAGAGGGGGCCCTCCAGAAACGCAGCCCTAGCCTCACCTAGGGTGGGAGCTGGGGTGACCCGGAGGGTCGGGAATTGAGTTCTGTCCCCCAGAGACCAGATCCTTTCCCCCGAGTGTGATGGGATTACAACAGGAAAGGAGCTGATCATTCCTTTCAACGGGCCAGGCAGGCCCTGACCTCACAGGGTTTTCCATTGTCAGGACAAACGTGGTGTTCTGATGACAGCCTCGACTCATTGGAGCCGTGGGACCGGGCCATGTTACGGCACTAACTTCACAGCGAGGCCATCGCCCACCTTCACTCCGCACGACGCCCGTCACACAGAGGAGCTACACAGAGGTGGCACCAGCACCCTGGTCCACTCCTGCAGCGTCTGTGATTCTGTCACCGAGGGCAGCCACCGTGCACTGAGCCACAGCAGACAACCGGAACCAGAAGCTTCCATGTACCCCTCCCCTCCCCTGCTGCCCCAGGGCAGATGAGCAGCGGCAGGAGCAGAGTGGGAGAGGCGAATCTGGGGGCCACACTCAAGCACCCAGTGGGATTTCTTCAGGTTTAAAAAGACAAAGGGTGGGGATCACCCCGTCAAAGGAAGTTTCAAATGTAGAAGAAAAACAAACAAATCCTATAGCAAATAACTTTATTTCTATCATTCCTGTTTAAAGAGCCGTGGAAATCTACAAAGTATAAAAAACCACACAGACAGCTGCCATGAGGGGTGGGGGGCGAGTGAAGGACCCACACAGCCCTTAGACGCAGGCCTCCAGTGCCGCACTGGGTCTGGGGCTCCGTGAGGACAGCCGCTCCCTCCCAGCGTGGCCTGCATGTCGGAATCCCCGGGGGTGGGACCCTGGCATCTGTCCTTTAAAGTGAGTTTTCCTCCCAATTTTCAGCCTGAAGGCCTTGCCCAAAGGCCCTGGAGGACCCGGGACTGCTGCCTCCGTCCCCAGTGCAGGCTGGGGTGCACTAATCCTCGACTGAAACGCAGGAACGGCGCGCCAGGTGCCACCTGTTGTTTTGCAGGGTCTCGAGCTCTGGAAGAAATGCATCCTGCCCGCCCTGGTTTTTCCTCTTGGGGCTCCCGTCCGCCTTTGGAACTGCGGTTCCACCAGTGTTGCATCGGCCTGGGCCTTGCTCCCCACCTGAGGTCACGCGCCTCTCTGTGTGACCTCAGGCAGGGAGCGGGTCCAAGGCGGCCAGAGGCTCCCGAGCAGCGGGGCAGCCGGGCGAGCTGGTTCCTGGCAGGCATCTCCAGCAGTGCCCCGGGGGCCTGGCGACGCCGTGGCGGCCCCAGGGCAGAGCGGCGTCCGAGGGCGCTCTCAGGTGATCGCCACCCGGGAGCTGGCAGGCCTGGAGCTGGCACATGGTCCTGAGCGGGGCTGGGTGGACAAAGCCGGGCCCTCCGCCCCCTGGCACACAGCAGTTGCTGGTGCTCACAAGGAGCACATCTGCCCAACTTCACCATCCGCAGGAAATGGTCTGGATGGGTTCAATGACTTTGCTCTCTCTCGCCTGGAGAGGCCTTCATGGGGGAGGGCACGGGGACACACTCGGGCGTGGGGGACCCGGCGTCTTTGAAGCGGCCTCGCCGGGGATCACTTGGGGCCGAGGCACTCCACAACACCACTCCCCTTCATGCCGTCGAAAAAGAAGAAGTTGTTGTGAGGTGGGTCCCTTTGAGACAGGGCCTGGGAGAGAAACAAGGAGCACTTGAAAATGCAGAAAATGGAGGGGAAAAAAAAAGCCAACCAGCCCCAACCCCAACCCTTGATAAGCAGTGTGGGCAGTGGTTTCCTAATAGAGGTTGATTTTGCCTCCCCAGGGGCCAGCCGGCCACCTCCCCAGACATTCTCCACCCCCAGATACTAGTGAAAGTTCATTTAAAGAATCACAGGAGGAAGAAGTGAGCCAGCTGGGCTGCGTGGGCTCAGGAAACACGTCACGGAGGCGCCAAGGACCTTCGGAGCTCAGCAGGAGGAAGGCAGAGACACTGCACCAGGGGATGGAGGGAGATGGAGGGGGAAGGAGGGAAAAGGAGGGAAAAGGAGGGGGAAGGAGGGAAAAGGAGGGAAAAGGAGGGGAAAGGAGGGGGAAGGAGGGGGAAGGAGGGGGTGTGCCCCAGACACTTGCGCACTGAGACATTCGCGACCATCACATTTCTCTGCTCCGCCCTTGCCGGCTGCGTGCTCTCAGACAGCTCCGCCTCTCTGAACTCACTCTCCCCGTGTAAAACAAACACAAGTGTGTTACCCCAGGCGTTAAGAGATGATGTGCCTCAACTACCTTCAACAATGCCTAGCATGGAGGCCACTGCCTGGTGAATGGCAGGGATAATCATTTATGACTCCGAGAAAGGCAGTGATTCACCCGGACACAGCCTGGCTGTGGCCTCCATGACCCTCGGAGATGTGCGGAGACACGCACCACACAAGACTGCTCCCCTTCACGGGCACGGCGACTGTCCTGTGGGGTCAGCAGGAGGACACGGCACTTTCAGGACAGGGTCAGGCAGCCCGAAACCCACGCGGATCCACACGTGCCTGCGTGTGCTGGGCTCCTGCCCGTCCCTGACTTTCCTGTGAGGTTCTGAACACAAGTGAGGTGACCCCTGAAGGAAGATGCCACCCACACAAGCTTATAAGCCGTGTTCCCCGGTCCCCATGGAACGGGGTTGTCACTCGTAAAGCAAGGCCTCGTGAACAAGGTTAGAAACTGTTCTCCACATCCCGAGTGTCTCCTTAAACCGAGTGCCAGTCCCACTCTGCTCCTTCAGCTGTGATATGAGGACAATCACACCTGCTCTGAGCGGCCATTCAGCCACGTGCCCTGGGAAACGCACCCAGCACCCACGTGGTGCCAGGTGCAGTGCGAGGCACTCAGAGGGCGGTTTGCCCCCGCACACGTGACAAGGCACAGAAACAGCGCCTGTCTGCTGGAGTCGCTGGTGAGATTGCGGTGCCATCAGCCTGGCAATGCGCTGACATGGAGCGAGTTCTCGGTAAGTGGGGGCTGCGATCTTATACCAACGTCTGAGGACCCCAAGCACCCAGGTGAGAGGGCCCAAGAGCCCACAGCGGCACCTGAGAACCTGCAGTGAGGCCAAGTTACAGGAGATGACACAACTCGACCAAACGTGAAGCCCGGGGGGGCCACCACTGTCACCACCACCACACGGGGAGGTGGCAGAATGCCCGGTGTCTGCAGCCATGTGAGGGCGGAAGGGGACCAGGATGGCTACGGGGACAGGCTTTTACCCATAGCCGCAACTCCTACCGCTTCCTTTCCCAGGGGTCGGAGGACCTCTCCTCAGAGAAGGGAGGAGGCCTGTGGCCGAACTGCTGGCCCCACCGCCAGCTGACTGAGGCTGGGGCCCTGTTCACTGCCTTCGTGTGTGGGGCGGGGGTGGGGGGTGAACAGGATGTGGGGTGAAGCAGGGCACGGGGTGAGCGCGGGGCAAAAGGTAAAGTGCCTCCCAAGCCAGATGGGGGCAGGAGGAGATTCCAGACACACCCAGCAACCAGGAATGCGGAGTGCGCCGCACAAACAGAAACGAGATGCTGGGCAACAGCTGTCCCCAGCAGGCCGGGGGAGGGGCCGCACTGGAGGTCAGGGCTGGATGCAGTGGAGTCTCTGCGAACAGTGGGGTCCAGGCCAAGGGCCTCAGCCCTGGGCCGGAAACTGGACGGCCTGGGCTCCAGTCCTGGCTCCCCCACTTCCCCCCACACCCACCCCACTCTGTACCTCAGGGGTCCCGACACTTCCTACCTCACAGGGAGGCTGGGAGGGGTGGTGAGCTCAGCCGTGTGAAGAACAGTGTGGTGGCACGTGGGGGACTTTCAGTGCATGTCCTCTGTCACAGGCTACAAGACCCCGCCTGCCCCCGCCTTATACTTTTCCCACCGCTGCTCTCTCTCACTTAACCAGGCACCACACTGCCCCATGGGAGGAAAAAACACGCCGCCACCGCCAGCCCACTAAAGCAGGGACACCCCAACGACGGTAAATTTGACACCTGTGGGCAAGCGGCAAAGTCCCCAAAGGACGTAAAATTCATGTGAGTCACGCTCTAGTTTCAGCAACCCTAATGTTCTTCTAGAAGAAATTTAAAATGCTGTGCCAGTGACAGGTCACATGACCCCAGGTGAGATGCCCCCACCACCACCACCACCTCGAAGACAGCCAACGGCGCCTGCCTGACACACCACAGGCCGCCTGGCAGAGAGAGCCCCACGGGGCTGCCGGCATAGGCCACGGGCACCGATTCCCCTCCTTCTCTGGGAAAACCTATGGTGCGGCCTTGGTGATGGACAGAAAGGAAGCGTGGGCTGGGAGTCCCTTCCCCAGGCCTCAGTAGCGTCCTCCCGTGCCGAGGGGACCATGACAGCACCCGCTGCATAGCACCGTGAGCAGCACGATCCCTGGCAGAGACCCTATGCACTAGGCACATGACTGGCCCAGCTGAAGGCGGGCAGACAGCACCCTGCCCGGCTCCAGGCTGAGCTCAGGGCAGGCACTCGGAGGCCCTGTGTGGAGTGCCCAGTGGATGGGCTGGGAAAAAGATGGAAGGAAAAGGGCGGGGAGGCCAGGAGGAGCCGGCCCGAGGAAGCAGGGCGCTTGGACAGCCCAGGGTGCGTGGGGGGGGTGGGGGCGGGGGCGCGCGCGACTGTGGTCCGCTCCACCGCCACCATTTACCTTCACGATTTCCTGGGCCAGGATCCCTCCGACAACGGCGCACACTGGGGCCATCTCAGAGAAGCAGTACCTGGAAGAGAGGACATGCAGGATGAAGCACTGAGGAACAAGTGGCTACCAGGGTGGCCAGGGGCCCAGTGCCCGAATGCATCATCTCCTACCAGGAGGAGGCCATTCCCACGGCAACGCTAATGCCGCCCTGGAGTGAGAAAGGTCAATCCAATGGGGGCTCGCACTCGGGTGGCTAGGAAAAACCTCTGAACCTTGGCAGGCAGGGACTGTTTCACACCTTTAAGTTGAAGGAAAGACTATATCTGTGCCTCCTAAAAATACCGTCCTCCAATACCAGATGTTTCAGTGCCCCGGTCACATTCTCGCCATTCTCTCCTGACCCCCGTGGGCGCTGGGTTCTATATGCTGCTCCCAGACAGATGCCTGGGAGAGGCCTGTGTTAACACGCAGGCTCGGGACATCTGGGGCCCCAAATTAAAGTATGGGGACCGAAACAGCCTTCAATACCCACGTGGATACCAGCTCTTCCGGGCCAGGATGGGGCATCCAGGGGACAAATTTTAGCTGATCCTGTCACCAGCCCTCCAATGCCCGTCCTGGGGACGGAACACTTGCTCCTGCCACCTCCCCGGAGGATGCGAGCCCTGCTGGTCCCCAGCCCCGGACTCCATGGTACTTCTGAAGTGAGCAAACGGGGACACCAACAAAGCGCGGCTCCCACCTGCAACCTTCCCAGCCTGTGCTCATCCTTCTGGATGTGCTGCAGTGCCCAAGTCTAAACATGTGTAATTTTAAAACCAAGTAAAACCACTACTATTTACTCCACACTGTCACCTCCTGATGGGCATTCAGACTGTTCAGCATAGCATCCACACATACCGGCACAGATGTCCCCACAATTTAGGCAAATCCCTGAATACAAAACTGCTGGGTCCCGATACATTTTGCCAAACTGCCCTTCTATAGAAAGGCCATGTCCATCACACCCTCCACCAGCAGGGAATGGACGTGTCCTCCCCTCACACCCCCACCAGCACCAGCACCGCCGTCCGTCTGTCCGCTCAGCCAGAGGGAACTTGTCCTCCTGGGTGGAGGTCCAGCGCAGAGCCACGACACACATGCCGAGGATGGCACCAGAGAAAATAGATCACCCAGAACGCAACTACTCAACAATAGCCAAATGTGGGAATGTTTTCCTTTTATTTAAAAGCGAAAAACAAAACACACCTATTCTCTTGTGATCATTCCACACAATTTAATATTCTTACCCCCCCTCCCCTTAAAAATATATTCTCTTAGTCCTGGCTGGTGTGGCTCAGTGGATTGAGTGCTGGTCTGCAAACCAGAGTCACAGGTTCAATTCCCAGTCAGGGCACATGCCTGGGTTGCAGGCTGGGCCCCCAGTAGGGCATGTGAGAGGCAACCACACAGTGACGCTTTTCTCCTCTCCTTCCTCCTCTCTCTAAAAATACATAAAATCTTAAGAAAAAAGTATATTCTCTTAACTAAATGCTAGGAAACCAAACCGGGAAAACACAGAAAGGATTATGTACCACTATTAAGTGGGACTTACATCAGGAACGCAAAGTCCGGCCAACATCTGAAAAAATAATCGATGCAGTATGCTGTATTAATTGAACAAAGGACGATAAACTCATGATCATCCCAAAAGACACAGAAAAAGCATGTAAAAAAATCCAGCACATTTTCAAGATAAGAACACTCCGCAAAGTGGGAAGAGAAGAAGACCTCTTCAGCCCGAGAAAGGGCATCTGGGAACATGGCACAGCCGACACTGTGCTCTGGGGGCTGGCCGGGTATGTGCTTCCCCCGAGATCAGGAGCAGGACAAGGACGCCTACCTTCCCCACGGCAACTGCACGGCATGCTGGAGGCTCCAGCCAGGGCAGTTAAGGAAGGAGAAAGAAACCAGACTTCAGACTGGAAGGAGAAGGCGCATTCGAAGGTCACATGCTCTAGCATATAGAAAATACTAAGGAATTCACAGAGAAATCATTTGAACTATTAAATTAATTCAGCAAGGCTGTAGGATACAAGATCAATATACAAAAATCAATTGTACTCCACTTCTGGCAAGATGGAGGAATAGGTGGACGCACCGTGCCTCCTCGCACAACCAAGATTAGAACAACAATGATTTACAGATAGAATAACACTCAGAACTGACAGAGGATTTATCTGAATGGAAGTCGGACAGCCAAGAAGTTGAAGTAGACCCGTACATCCAGACCAGTAGTAGACAACGAGCCGGGCGGGCACGGGGCAGGCGCGGGTCGGAGGTTGGGGAAAATTTGGCGCGAAATCGGCACGACAGCCATCCGGGGCGCAAGAACGCAGCGGTGATCCCTGAGTACGCAAGCTGCGGCTGGTGGACCCTGTGGGGCAGCGATTGTGGACCAGGGCAGAGCTCGCAGCCCAGGATCCCAAGGAAGGGGCTGAGCCCAGGAGAACGGAACTACCGCCATTGTCCCCTCCCGCTCCCACATGTAACGTCACAATCTAGCGACCAGGGTGCCCAGCCCCGGTGAACACCTAAGGCTCCGCCCCCCCACCGTAACAAGAGCGACCAGAGACAGGGAAAGACATAAGACATGTTTCCAACAGAACAGATCAGTCCCCCAGGACTCATCCTTTTGAGCAACCAAGAAATAGCCAATCTATCAGATGCACAGTTCAAAACACTGGTGATCAGAAAGCTCCCGGAACTGGTTGATTTTGGGCGCAATTTAGATGAAAGGATGCAGGTTACCATAAAAGAGATGCAGGAAGATACTCGGAGGAGAGCCAATAGTGAAAGGAAGGAATCTGAGTCTCAAAACAATACAGTGGACCAGAAGGAAGATAGAATCAACCAAGCAGGAAAGCATGATGAAATAAGAATTCAAAAAAATCGAGGGAAAAGCTTAAGAGCATCCAGGACACCTTTAAACGTTCCAACATCCAAATTATAGGGGTACCAGAACAGGAAGGAGAAAAGCAACAGATGGAGCACGTATTTGAACAAATAATAAAGGAGAACTTCCCCAATCTGGCAAAGGGAACAGTCTTCCAAGAAATCCAAGAAGCTCAGCGAGCCCCAAAGAAGCTGGACCCAAGAAGAAACACACCAAGGCACATCATAATTACATTAGCCAAGGTAAAAATGAAGGAGAGAATCCTAGAAGCAGCAAGAGATAAGATGACAGTAACCTACAAAGGAGTGCCCATCAGACTGTCAGCTGATTTCTCCAAAGAGACCTTACAGGCAAGAAGGGGCTGGAAAGAAATATTCCAAGTCATGAAAGACAAGGACCTACATCCCAGATTGCTCTATCCAGCAAAGCTCTCATTTAGAATGGAAGGGCAGATAAGGAGCTTTTCAGATAAGGTTAAGTTAAAGGAGTTCATCATCACCAAGCCCTTATTTTATGAAATGCTAAAGGGACTTACCTAAGAAAAGAAGATAAAGAAAAGACATGTATAGTAAAAGGACAGCAAACTCACAATTATTAACAACCACACCTAAAGCAAAACCAAAAGAAACTAAGTAAACAACTAGAACAGGAACAGAACCACAGAAATGGAGGGCACATGGAGGGCTAGCAACAGGGGGGGGGGTGGGAGGAGGAGAGGGGGAAAAGGTATAGAGAATAAGTAGCATAGAATGTAGGTTGAAAATAGGGGGGAGGGCAAGAATAGTACGGGAAATGTAGAAGCTAAAGAACTCATAAGAATGACACATGGACATGAACTAAAGGGGGGGAACGTGGGTGGGAGGGGGGGTACAGGGTGGAAGGGAGAGAAGGGGGGAAATGGGACAACTGTAACAGCATAATCAATAAAATACATTAAAAAAAGAAAAAAAAAAGAAAATCAATTGTACTCCTATACATTAGCCATGAACATTCTAAAAATGAAATTAAAGCCCTGGCCAGGTAGCTCAGTTGGACAGGGTGCCATCCCGACACACCAAGGCTGCGGGTTTGATCCCCGGTCAGGGCACATACAAAAATCAACCAAAGATCGCATCAAGTGGAACAACAAACTGATGTCTCTCTGTCTCTTTCACCTTCCCCTCTCTCCCTAGAATCTATAAACAAACAAACAAACAAACAAAGAATTCCACTTACAATAGCATCCAAAATATTTAGAAATAAATATAACAATGGATGTGTAAAACATACTCTAAACACTGCAATATACTGTTGAAAGAAACAAAAGACCTAAATAAATGGAAATATATTCCATGTTCCTGGATCAGAAGACTTAGTATTGTTAAGACAGCAATACTCCCCAAATTATATACTTGACAAAAATCGCTACATCAAAATTCCAGCTGCCTTTTTTGCAAACATGGAAAAGCCACCCTAACATTCCTATGGGAATGTGAGAGACCCAGAACAGCCGAAACAATCTTACAAAAGAACAGTCACTGAACTCACGTGTCCCGATTTTAAACCTCACCACTGATGGGGCTGCAGCGATCACGACCGTGTGGCCCCAGTGTGAGGACAGACAGAGAGCAATGAACTAGAGCCCAGAGTCCAGAAATAAATACACAAACACGTGTATGGTCAATGATTTTTTGACAAGACCATTCAACAGAAATGAGAAAGTCTTTTAAACAGACGGCATGGGAACAACTGGGTCTCCGGGTGCACAGGAATGAAATGGGACCAGTACTTCCCACCATGCACAAAAGTTAACTCTAAGATGAAGCACAGCCCTGGCTGCTGTGGCTCAGTGGACTGATCACCAGCCTACAAACCTTTCAAAAGGTCACCGGTTCAATTCCTGAGCAGGGCACATGCCTGGGTTGTGGGCCGGGTCCCCAGTTGGGAGCGTGTGAGAGGCAAGCAATCTCACACATTTTTGTTTCTCTCCCTATCTCCCTCCCTTTCCCCTCTCCCTAAAAATAAATAAATAATAAAAAGAATCACAGACCTAAATGTAAAAGCTAAAACTATAAAACTCTTACAAGAAAACAGAGGAGTAAACCTTTATGACCTTGGATCAGGCAACAATTCCTTGGGTGTGATACCATAAGGGTAAGTGAAAG